TGACTACGGGATCTACTCGGTGCACACGCCGAGCAGTGATAAGGGAATCTGCAGGGCTAAATTAGGCTTCCATGCCACTTGAGAACCGATACTTTCGGGGCTCGCTTAGTAAGACTGACGTATACGTGCTAGCAAAGACTTGAGGCAGAGTGTACAACAACGCATTGAGTAGCACGGATATGGTGGTAGTGATGGCGTGAGATCACAGAACCAGGTAGATAAGAGCGAGAGGAGGCTGATAAGGTCCTCATCGACCCCAGCACAATGGTGAGGTGAATAAGGGAACTTGAGGTGTCTCATTAAGTCCGCTCAAAAGGGCATACCAGAACTAGGTTTAGATAACTAAGTAACAAATTGTGATAGTTTTGGTGTGATACGAGGACATAGAATACTCCAGAATAGAAGGAGAGACACCATAATTGTTTAGCTGACAATTGGTCAAAAGATTGACTTGACTTCTCTTTGACGAGTTGTACAGTGATGCTAAGAATGGCAGGGCTCACTGACAATGCCGGCGAATCTTCTGGGAAGGTATCAAGTTGACGGTCTGACTCTGGGAATTATCATGCATACCATGGACTCCGGACAAGGTACGTTCCTTTAGGTCTTCCTGCCAATATGGCGAAGTTATGGAAACAAGGTCAAACAACTTTTATACAATGAAATGAGACCGCTATCATATTAAAGGCTACACTATCTTGATCTTCATAACGTCTACTATTCTCAATTATATCTAATGGCTTGATTTGTATTTAGCTTTGAAATTATGTTTGGATCTGAGACAGGCTGTAGATAGGGTGTTATTTGCTTGGCTTTTCAGGTTTTGATGAACAGTCGATCCTTGTTTTTTTGGGAAAAATACTTCTCAACCAATTCTCAATATATTGTGATACAAAAGTGCTGTATCATCCTACTTTGTTAGAATTTTTTGCTCTCACTTTAATTTCCTCAATGTCTGGAGCAATTTTCCGACTCATCTCATATTATTATAAGATTCACTCTATCCGATATACTACAGGGTAAAAATTGTAATAGTGAAGGCATGATAGGATGCTACCGGAAACGCGAATAACCCAGGGCAAAAGGGGAGATACCACAATTGCTTAGCACACATTTGGTCAAAGGACCGGCTTCACTTGTCTCTTTGACGAGTTGTTGTGTGGTGCTAAGATTGGCAATACTCACTGACGATGCCGGCGAAACGTTTGGGAATGTACCACGTCCATGGTTAAACTTTGGAAATGATCATGCAGACAATGGACTCCGGACTAGGTGCATTACTCTAAGTCTTCCTACCAATATGACCATTTTGCGAAAACAAAGTTAAACAACTTCTAATAAATGGTTAATCCAACTGAAGTAACTATTTAGGCGACTTTGATAAACAAAACTGTTTGTATTCCTTATTGCTACTTAGATAAGGTTAATAAACAAAATACTTATTTCTTGTACTACAAATCCCCTAGAAATAATTAAAGCAATGTTTCCATTTCTACTGAAGATTTACACTCTAAATAACCTGTTCCTATTTGCTCACCTTATTTTATTTTTTTGCATGCATATTTCTAAAAATGTCTACTTTTCTATATTCCCTTTGTTTAGCTCACTTTCACACCGCCTAGGCACTCTTCCTGTTCAGCAAAAGTCTTGGTCTCGACGCCGACCACCGAGTAATCGAAAGCCTTGGACTCGACTTGGCTAGCTCATATGCATTGCTCAGTTCAGATGATTCAGTTTCTACTCTGCTTGCTTACCGTCTGGTAGCAAATTACGTTCCATCCCTCACCCTATCGTGGAATTTTGAGGAGGCGTCTATATATGCTTATGTTGCTGTTGCAGCTTCTCATCGATCTTTGTGTCCTTTTCTCACCACACGATGTCGACGGCAGCAACGAAGACGGCTTATCATTGAGCAAGAGCCTAACCTGGTGAAATGCTAATAATTTTCACAGACGTACACTTCTTTGCACGTCTTTTTAGAATATGTATTTTCTTGCTTACTACTCCTTATCATACGCTCACCGCCATGTTCTTCGATCTCTCATGAATCCTTCCAGGTTAGCCTTCTCCAGAGTCTGTCATGTCTCAGAAGGTCGACTGTCAAGTCACTACCTTACTTTCACAATAAAATCCGAGAATGGCATCAGGAAATAGGAGCCATTTTTATGCACCAGATGCCACCTCTTTTTTTCTTAGCTCTTCTCCTTCCTTTTAAGCCAACCCAAGACGTATTAATTTGTCATTTATACAGGATAGTATGACCAAGCGATCTAGATAACTATTCTGGAATGTCGCAAGGGGTCCGTGCATTTATCTATCTTCCCTATTTCCATCCATTTTTGTTATTTTTGCTCGCATGTATCCGCTTCTTATCGTTTCATCACCATATCAAATCACTTTCTGACCTAATTATTTCCATAATCGGTGCCCGGTTAGTTTGTGTAGATTTTTCTTTCCTTCGTTATATCTCCTTCAGCTGTGTTTTACTTTTTTCGTTTAATATCATACATACAGGTTGTATTTTTCACCTACCGATGCGCGTCTCCCGCATCCATGGAATTGGGCGGTGTCTACATAGCAGACACCATTCATACTTTCCCTTTACTTGTTATCTGAGGTCACCTGCCTTTCAACGGTTCGCTTTTCTTAATTGAATTCAACTATCTCCAGTCTGCATTAAAACAACTACTTTCTATTGGATCAGAATTACGATGTCAAACTAATCGGGCTACTTTAAGAGTGTCTGGTAGTGGGTGTGCATACTGTAGTCGAACGTCGAGCGTGTCCCTCCGCTCATTTTGACTTTTTTTCACTAACTTTACTATATATGTACATAACCAAATGTATGCTTACGTACGAAGTTATTTTTATTATCAGGTTCAAATCGCATTGAAAGCTTATCGATCTGTTCAATTGCGTGCCTATTTGCACATCTTACATCTTCTCTTAAAGTTTCTACAGCCAAATAAAATTTCCCGAAATTTAATCATCATTAATGCAGATTACCCTATTGATTCTGCCGTTAATTCCCTCACACCGACCCATTTATCTCGAATGCATGTTTTATCTCATTGTTAATTTAATGTGCTTCTAGGTACATTAGGAATCCTGTCTATTGGTGGTACAGGCAATCTTGCTCTATTGGCTTACTTTTTTCGCTTACCTTTTCAAGCTAGAAGCGAGTTACCTTTGTCTTCCCACGTCTTGCAGATAATTAGACTTATCACTTTGACGATTTCGACACTAAATTTGTCGTTTTAATATTGCTGCTTTCATCAACAGTTATCCTTTTAAAGTTTCATCAAGGACATAACTTGTTTGAGTGGGTCTCTTCTTTGTTTGTGTGAGTCGAAATTAATACTTTCTGTTTTTGCGAACCAATCACACAGTTCCCTTTCGTCTCCCCACTCTCAGAGTAACTCTGGTCCCTCCAGGAGGTCTTGAATCCTATTTATCCTACCCTTGGTGACCTGGGCCCGTGCATCTTTGTTATTTCTTTTATAATTTCACCTGCCCTCTTTTCAGCGGTTTTTATGAGTTAGATATTGCTTTCCTGCCCATTTTTCGC